ATTATTATTTTCTTTTAAAAAATAGTCTAATTCCTCATCAAGTTTATTCATAAATTCTTTCTCTTTAATTAGCTGTGTATTTAAGGTCCACCTTTTCCTTGGTTTCTTCCTGCCTTTCCACACTATCTGAATCGGGTTGTGATCTGCCTATTCGTTTGGTAAAATTTCAATCTCTTTTAATTTAGTAATTCACCATTCATCCACACCATATCGATTCGTGTCCATGATTGGTGAGGGTTGGAGTAAAATGTAAGTTGCTTTTTCTCGGGGTTTAATTTCCTCCACATGTCTATCAAATTTAATTCAATCATCATTTCTTCACATGTTTTTGGTAGTTCTCTTTTTTTTTTCTCCCCCCCCCCCCCACTATGATCTTTCTGGTGGTCCACAATAGCATTGAAATCCCCCAAGATGCAAATATTCCTTTTATCTAATTCCACTAATTTCCCATGTAATTGTTTAAAAAATTCCTTTTGGTTATCGTTAGGGGCATAGATCACCACTAGTAGAATTGGAATTGATTTAATCCAAATTTGTAACACCAGAATTCTTCCATTGGGATCTATCCAAATTGGCTCTGCTTTCATATCGTCTTTCACATATACTGCTATCCCTTTCTTTTTCCTAAAAGCTGCTGGCGACGTATACAAATTCCCTAGCTTGGGGCATTCTAGATATTTTTCTTCTTCCTTCCTTATATGAGTTTCCTGTAAACATATTATATCTGCATTTTGTTTAATTAATTTGGTTAATATTCTTTTCCTTTTTATCCTAGAGTTTAGGCCATTTATGTTAATTGATAGTATTTTCTTTTCTTCATCCATCACCTAATTGACTCTTGCTCTTTGTCTTGTAGTTACTCCTGTCTCTCTTTGTGGCTGATTGTGCGTCTTTGGTTCTTCTCTCTCTTGATGTTGTTTATTTTTCGAATTCCTACAATTCCCATCTCTCTCTCTTTTTTTTTTATTTTGGTAGTCTTGGTCATCTTGCAAATTCATTTCTAACTCGTCTCTACTACTCGATTCTTCATGGCCTGTCAGTCATTCGTAGAATTCTTGTGCTTTTTCCACGGAGTCTACTTTAATTTTTCTTTCTTCCCAAGTGATTAGCATTCCCTCTGGGATTAGCCATCTAAATATGATACCTTTTTGGTTTAATTGGTTCGCCAAGAATTTATAATCTCGCCTCTGCTCTCTCACTCTTCTTGGGATTTGTTTAAGCACCAAGATTTCTTTTCCTTTGTGTGTAATTGTTTCTTCTCTAGAAATTTTGTATATAATATCTCGAACTTTCCTTCTGGCAAATCGCACATGGACCTCTTTTGGATGTTTATGTCGTCTTGCGTAATTTGTGCTCACTCTGTATACTTCATCTAACTCTTTCAGAATATCGTCCTTATCTTTTTCCAATAGGTCTGCTAATATTCCTGCCATCACTTATTCTAAGTCCTCTTCTTTAGTTTCCATTATATTTTGGAATCTCGGATATGCTGCAGCCTTGTCCATTTCCAAATATACCAAGGAGTCGTCCATTTCTTTACTCACATTTCTTAATTGCTGACCAATCATTTCCAGCTTCTTTTCCGTTTGTTCCGTTCTTTTCTCAACCTCCTTTATTGTTGATTCATTCCTTTCTAGTGCTTGCTGTATTGTTTCAGTTTTTTGATCCAACTTTAGGATGTCTAGTTTCATTTCTGCCTTTAAGTTTCCCATCTCTTCTTTTAGTTCATTTGTGTCAGCTCTTGATTCGATATGATTTTTTACCACTATTTCCTGAAGCTTCAGCATGGACTCTTGTAAAGTAAGAAGGGTCGATTGAATATTGGCATTCGTGATGGTAGGTTGTTTTTCTCCAGGTAGAGTTTCTTCAATTGTCTTTTGTGCCATCACTGAGGTTGATGGCATTGAAGTTGTTTGTATTGAAGAGGTCTGTTAGGGATAACATTGTTTACCCTAACTGGTTTGGGTAAAAATAATAAATAAGTTATCATGGTTTGTTGGTTAAAGTGTGTGTAACTTTAACTACAAGAATGTAATTAAGGGTGTGGTTGTAAAAGCACCATAAAAGAAGCAAGTCAATTGCAGCTCTCTCTCTCTCTGGCTTAATGATCCCTAATTACTGGATGGATTGATGACTGCGTTTTTCCTTACTGGAACGGAGGAGAAAAAGGAGTGTTGATTTCTCAACGGAGAGAAGAGATAATACGGACTGATTTATTGTAAGTGAACTGACATTGGCTATTCAACACGGACTTTGCAAATTGAGTATCCCCGACTGGACTGACTGAAATGATACATGACTAATGGACCGTTTATTTTGACTATGCTATAATTCCTAATGGAATAAACTATATTTTTGATAGCACAAGCGTATCTGTTTTTTACTGCGTGTTAACTAAAATACAAACTTATCTCACACATTTACCTGTCTGCCTATCTGACTACGCTACACATTCTGTTTAGTTTGTTTTCCTTAACACTCGTTGGGGAATTCAGGCTTAACAAGGTCTTCTTTCCAGTTTTAAACATCGTATTAGTGACAGAGGTCATTTCTTGGAAAAATTGTTATTAATATTAAATTGTATTAAATTATATTAAATATGTTGTCCCAAATTAACATTCACTATTGAGAAGTATCAACTATAAATGGCCACTACGCTAATTAATATGATATGTTACAGGATTAACCTCTCTTATCAATATATATATATATTCCAGAACACTTTTACAGCTAATTTCTAAATCAAATATCTGGATTTGTAAATCTTAATAATATATCAAATTTCTCTATTTAAATTTAAATACTATTGACCTGTATATCTATAAGTGCTATAGAATCCCAAATCTAAAAATAGTGTTATGAAATTATATTTCAAATACTTACAAATCTAAATAAAGATATATTAACCTTACTATACAATAATTAATTAGTTAATCTATAGTAATCACAATCACAATTAATTATTTAATTCAATCTAATCAACGCCTATAATCAAATATCTATACCTAAATAATTATCACCTCCCTTTTTGTGTGTGTTATAACCAAATATAAACTACAATATTTACTAATGTATCAAATATATATAAATTACATGTACCACATTCAAAAATCAGTTAAGTTGATGTCAAGAAATAATTGTTGCAATCCGCAAATTTAAAAGCTTAAAGTGTCTTAATATAATTGTTCAGTTCTTCAAGATTCCTTCACCGAGCGCACCGGAAAAACAGAGTTGCTGAGTAATGTCTCCGATTTCACTATCTCACCACACTTTCTGCTGTAGTCGTTTCTCCTTTCGTTTAAAAGTTTAACAAGTCAATTTTTAGATTCAAATAGTCTCTTTCTTTAATAAAACTTCTCCACTTACTACAGCTCCAGTCCAATAATCCAAAAGGAGACCAGTAAATTATTCAGTTTCATTCGTGGAATATTTAAAGTTGTAATTTAATTCCTTACTTCAAGTCTCCCCCCATCTCAAGTTCGTCCTTCCAATTTTCCCCAAAGTCCACAATTCAAATCCTTCAAAGTTCCCTTAAATTAAATTGTTATTCTTCTTTTTTTCTCTCCCCCAATTATTATCAGTCTCTCAGATCCCTCCGATTCTCTTATCTTTGTCCGATCGCTCGCGTCCTTACCCTCTTCCGTCTCACGAGCCCTTTCGCTTTCGCTGCCGCTCATATCTGCTTTGGCCGCTGTTTTCGGGCTTCGCTCTGACTAAGATACTCCAATATTCAACGCTCAATCAGGATCACAAATTCTTTCACTCGCACTCTTCGTTCACCACAGTCTGTCACTCACTTGCTTCCTCTTGTATGCAACGATCAAGGCTTTAGGACCGCCATTGCTGACAGTCTCTTGTTGTCGGTCTCCACAGGGTTTCTCTATGTCGCGATGAGAATCGCCTTTTCCACACTGCGACTTGAGTCTCCCCACAGTGGCACGCTTCTCTACAAGATACGTGCACCCCTAAGGGTCACTCCAACAGCAAGAGGAGATAACGTGAAACCCAGGACGAGCTTCAGCACCTCCATTCGCCCATATCTCGTCACCGGAAGTCCACCTGTTGCATATTCTATGAGCTGCTTTTCACTTAGTACAATAATTTGTATCCCAGATATTGCTTACCTTGGCTCTACTGCATGGTGTATTTCCACCTCTTTCCCAATAGCGTAGATTTTCAGTAGTCCATTGGGAAGATTTGAAGAAATCATCGTCCTTCCACTTTATCAGTTTATATGGGCTACTTGAATGGTTTGGTTGTAGTGTGAAAGTATCTGCCTAGCTATGCTTCAACACAGATTCATTGTACCTGTCTTGGTGTTTCTTGTTTTGTTAGTTTCCAGTGATGAGTCTGTGAGATGAAAAGATACCCATAATTGAGACTATGCCTATAGTTTAATAGTTGTTTGGGGGGAGGTGATTTCTTTAGCTTCTCCTTTGCTTTCATCAATATTGCAATCTTTATTAAGAATATACAGGTAGTCCTTGACTTACAACCTTTCATTTACTGACCGGTTACACCAGCACTGAAAAAAGTGACTTATGACAGTTTTTCACACTTAAAACTCTTGCAGCATCCCTGTGGTCACATGATCAAAATTCAGAACTTGGCAATTGGTATGTATTCATGGCAGTTGCCATTTTCCGGGGTCATGTGATCACATTTTGCAACCTTCTGACAAGCAAAGTCAATGGGGAAGCCAGATTCACTTAACAATTGTGTTACTAATTTAACAACTGCAATGATTCACTTAACAAATGTGGCAAGAAAGATTGTAAAATGGGGCAAAACTTAATTGTCTTGCTTAGCAGCAGAAATTTTGGGCTCAGTTGTGGTTGTAAGTTGACTACTTGTATTTTTAACATTGCTTGGTTGTAGTTTGCTCTGGTCTGGAATCCTTTTGAAGCACAATCTCTGTGCTCATAGAAAGTCTGTGTGCAAACATATGTATCCATGTGTTTGTGCACACATGTAACAGCCAACATTTCCTATTTTTACAGGGGGGAAGAGATGGCTGAAATCAGTGACCTTGACTGTCAGATTGAACAACTGCGGCGCTGTGAACTCATCAAGGAGAGTGAAGTCAAAGCCCTCTGTGAAAAGGCCAGGCAAGTGTTTGTAAACTTCTGAGCAGTAACTGCTTTTATATGACAGCATGCAGGTGATGTGAAAGGCAATTCCAGATGACACATCTCCCTTTCCCTTCCAACAGAGAGATCTTGGTGGAAGAAAGTAATGTCCAGAGAGTAGATTCCGCAGTAACAGTGAGTAAGGGTTTGGGGGGGATGCTTCATAATACCTTAGACTGGCATGGTAACATCAGCAGTCTGGCAAACTTTTTTTATCCTTGATGCATTTTTCCCTAGGTTTGTGGGGATATCCATGGCCAGTTCTATGACCTTAAAGAGCTATTCAGGGTGAGTGCTGAAACCCACTAATTCCATGCTGCCTTCTGCTTTTGGCTTGCTTTCTGTAGATTCCCTAATTTTATGGGTAACTTTTTCATGTGTTTTGTGCCTTTATGCGTCAGGTGGGTGGTGATGTACCTGAGACCAACTATCTTTTCATGGGAGACTTTGTTGACCGAGGCTTCTACAGTGTTGAAACATTCTTGCTGCTGCTGGCACTCAAAGTAAGGAAAGCCTTGATAAGTCAACATTGATTTTTTCTTTCTTATTTAAAAGTCAGTATGTGTTAGCAGTGATGCCAATTTGGCTAATACCTTTTTAAATCTGAAGACTAAGCTAAATGGATCTACTTCTTTTTACAGGTCCGTTACCCGGACAGAATCACCCTTATCCGTGGCAATCATGAAAGCAGGCAAATCACCCAGGTATATGGGTTTTATGATGAGTGCTTGAGAAAATATGGCTCTGTCACTGTGTGGCGCTACTGCACTGAGATTTTTGACTACCTCAGCCTCTCTGCCATTATTGATGGCAAGGTGAGTATGCAAGTATAATTATTGAATCATGATGAAATAAGGATCTGAAGGAGACCAGATTCTAATTTGAAGGACTAACTCTGAAAAATAGTGGAAAAAACAAATCATTATTTTACTTGCCAAGACATGTAATTATGGGATAATCACTGGTGGCATGGGGCTGATTCAAATGGAATGTCTTCCCTTAATTCAAATCTAGCACTCAGTTGTTTTTAATCAAATACATAATACCAGAGACTGTAAAGGAGTAGGAGGGCACATAGAGATTATGTCTCTGGGGTAAGGTGATCAGAGAAAAAGAGTGAGAGTTTAAAGATGGAGGGAGGTCCATGATGTATACTGTATAAGTGTGTTTTTTCTGTTCAGATTTTCTGTGTCCATGGTGGCTTATCCCCGTCCATCCAGACGCTGGACCAGATCCGAACAATAGATCGCAAACAAGAGGTCCCTCATGATGGCCCCATGTGTGATCTTCTTTGGTCTGACCCTGAAGGTACAACTATGAGTCTTTCTTTTTCTGTGTGTGTGAATATTATCTTGATAGTAGATACTGTAATGGCTGACGTGTACAGGTTTGGTGGAATCTGATAGGAATAGGACATGCCAAAAGTAGTGTTGAAGACTATTGTGCCTGTAATTTTGACTCAAAATTATACTACTGTGTTTCCCCAAAAATAAGACTGGTTCTTATATTTTTTGGCCCACCAAAAAAGGCACCAGGTCTTAGTTTCGTGGAGGTCTTATAGTTTCCCCAATTTTTTCCCGTACCGGGAAGGCTGCAAGCTGCCCCTCCCACTTAGCACCTCCATGACCTCACTAAACAGCTGATCTGCACTGCTTCAGAGCCTGAAGTCCTCTGCAAAACAGCTGAGCTGAGTCTGCATGTCTTCACTAAACAGCTCCGCAATATAAAATCAGATGTTTAGCAAAGACATACAGGCTCAGCTCAGCTGTTTTGCAGAGGACTTCAGGCTCCGAAAAGTGCAGCAGCTTTGCTGATCTGAGCCCGCATGTCTTCTCTAAACAGTATTTTCCTGCCGAGCCTTCAGCCTTGCTGGGATACGCTGAAGGCTTGGGGGGAGAGCCTTTTCGATGATCGGCAGGAAAATAGGTAGGGGGATTTTCCTGCCTGTCCTCCTTTTCTCAGTCTGTGCTGAGCTTAAGAAAAGGAGGACAGGCAGGAAATTCCCCTACCCGTTTTCCTGCAGAGCCTTCAGCGTTGCAATCCTGGGATACGCTGAAGCCTTGGGGGGGTAGCCTTACGGTAGAAGCCAGTAGTGGGATTCAAAAATTTTTGCGACCGGTTCTGTGGGCATGGCCATGTGACTGGGTGGGTGTGGCTTTTCTTTTTTTTTTGCTTTTTTGCTGCCCCCACCCATGTTTTCGAGCCTCAAAGGGGCCTCGAGGGGGGGGGGGGGCATTTTTGCTCTCCTAAGGCTCCTCTGGGGCTCTGGAAGGCAAAAAATGGAGGGGGGGGGTGAGCTCCCTCCATTTTTTGCCTTCCTGGGCCTCAGCAAGGGGAATCCCGGCACAGCTGATCTATGCACAGCTGATTGTCAGGAGGGAAAAAAAAGAAATACCTTAGGCGAATGTCAGGTGGGCGAGTAAGCGAGCATCAGGCAGGAGGGTGACCGGGTTGGGGGTGTGGCCAGCCAGAACTTTCTACCAGTTCAGCGACCCACGTCACATTCTTGCTACCGGTTTGCCCGATCCAGTGTGAACCGGCTGAATACCACCACTGGTAGAAGCAAAGCACAGCCTGTTCCTTTCAAGCAACCAAATGTCTGTGTGTGTGAGAGAGAAAGAAAGAGAAATGACACGGGAGTAACAAGAATTGCAGGCAACGCTGTTTGAAAGGATTTCCTCTCTGCCCTCTCTCTCTCTCTCTTTCTCTCTCGCATACACACACACACACGTTGAGAAACGGAGGGCAGGCAACCGGGTAAGGGGGTTGACCCCCGCCTCTAGCTCGGCACCTGCTCAGGGTGGTGCCCCGAGGCCCGGCACCTGCGTGGGCCCACCCCCACCTGGCCAATACGACAAATGGGCTCCCTCGTAGTGCCTTCTCTCCCACGTGAAGCAGCGGCCGGTGCAGGCTCCATCTGCACGGCCATGAAGCGGGATCAGCATAGCCGGTTCTTGCCCACAGCATTGGCGGACAGGATTGGGTCAGAGTTGCCGCCAGCCGAGATTAGGCCACACTTGGTGAGCTGGAGGCACCACACACGTGCAACCATCGCCCAGGAGAAGAGTCAGACATGATATTCTTCCGATTAAAATCGGAATTCCGATTTTTTTGGAAATCGCCCACCCCCCCTTCCCCCCCTTCTTCTCCTCCTTCCCCTCCCCTCGGAGGCCCCCTGAGTCAGGAGTTGCTACCGCCGGCGCGGCTCCAGTCCTGCGTCGCCTCGGGAAGGGAAAGGCAAAAAGGAAGAGCCACGGCGGCGCTTTGCAACAGCAGCAGCGGCACCGGAGGCTCAGGCGCAGCAGCTCCCGGTTTTGCCTTTCCCTTCCCAAGGCAACGCGGGACTGGAGTCATGCGGAACCGCGCCGGCGGTAGCAACTCCTGACAGCCCCAGCTGGACACCTGAGCGGAGCCTGGGCGGTGCGAGTGGAGGCCGCTGAGCGGCAGGAAAAGGGAGCTGGGCAGCCACGGACCATCAGTCTCTCCGTGCAACACGCCACCGCCCGGCCCTGGCGAGGGAAAGCAGCGGGCGCTCCCCGGGCGGCGGCCTCGGCCCCGCCCCCAGGGAAGCGGCTGCCCAGCTCTGGAGCTGATCCACACGTGACCGGCTGGAAAGGAAGGGTGTGTAGCGTTGGTGTTGTGTGTGCGATTTCTTGGCTCGCGGCACGGGGTCTCTTTTGGCCAGCCCCGATTTTTTTTTCAGAGGGGAATATCATGCCTGAGAGTGTGCCAGAGCCCAAATGCTGAGCCTCACCAGCCTCGGAAACCAGGGATCTTGCAGGCATACTGGCCACGTAAAGGCCGCCCAAATCCCTGGGTTGTTTGCAACTCGAGCAAGCTATGCAGCCGTCCACCCCAAACCAAACGGCGGGGAGGCTTCGGGAGTACAGGCAGGAAAAAAGCCCCCATTTTCCTGCCGATCACCCAAAAGGCTCCATCCTGAGCTTTCAGTGTTGCAACCCTGGGATACCCCCAGCTTCCCAGCACTGCTTCAGGGCTTGCACAGCGCCGGAGGTGGGGAGGCCATTGGAGGAGCTCTGCGCGCCCCCCGCCTGCTTCCGCTTCGCCTTTGCCAGGGCAGCAGGCGCTAGAAGGGTGCTGTCCTTGGCTGGGCAGTCCCCAGCATTGTCCTGAAGCCTCGCCGCCACTTGGTTTGGGGAAGACGGCTGCACAGCTCGCTCGAGTTGCAAACAATCCAGGGATTTGGGTGGCCTTTACGTGGCCAGTATGCCTGCAAGATCCCTGGTTTCCAAGGCTGGTGAGGCTCAGTGTTTGTGCTCTGGTGCACTCTTCTCCCGGGTGGCGGCTGCACATGTGTGGCGCCTCCAGCTCACCAAGTGTGGCCTGCTGATCTCAGCTGGCGGCAGATCTGACCTGATCCTGTCCGCCAACACTGCAAGCAAGAACCAGCTATGCCGATCCCACTTCATGGCTGAGCAGACAGAGCCCGCATTGGCCGCTGCTTCATGTGGGAGAGGAGGCACTACAAGGGAGCCCATTTGTCGCATTGGCCAGGTGGGGGTGGCCCAGGTGCCAGGCCTCGGGACGCCACCCTGAGCAGGTGCCGAACTGGAGGTGAGGGAGGGTCAACCCCCTTACCCGGTTGCCTGCCTTCTGCCGTTTCTCAACAAATGTCTGTGTGAGAGAGACACACACACACACACAAATGGAGAGGAAGCCCTTTCAACCAGCATTGCCTGCAATTCTTGTTACTCCCTTCTGTCCTTTCTCTGTCTCTCTCATATACAAACAGGCATTTGATTGCTTGAAAGGGAAAGGCTGTGTTTTGCTTCTACCCATGAGCACACACATCCCACAATCTTTCAGAATTGCCTGCCTTTTCGTCCTTTTCTCAAGCAGCAGCAGCCGGATAGAGGCGGCGGAGGGGGGGGACCGATTCCGATGGGCCGCATGGCTTTCTGCCTAATTGCCTGAAACATATCCAGGCACCCGGAGAGACAGAACTCCTGGCCCTCGCTGGATCAGCTGATCCGTGGGCCATGGTTAAGGGGCCGAGGTGACCGGAGAAGGGAAGGGCTGCCTCTTTGGCTGGCCGTGCCCACCCCCTTCACTAGGCCTTAGGCCCACCCCCCAAAATGAGGAGGACTTTCAGGGTAGGTTGTATTTTGGGGGGAAACATGGGTAGGAGCAGAATAGTTGGTGTTACTACATACCCTGATGAGACTGAAATACCTGTTCTTTACAAGAAGTTGAAGAGAGACTGCAGATTATATAGTAGTGGCCAAAATGAGGAAACCTTTTGGGAAAAGTGTATTTTTATGCCATCACTACCAAACAGGGAGATCTTGGTCTCATCACTCCAAATAACACTGTCCCATTGTTCCTCTGTCCAGGTAACATGGGTTTTAGCCCAGTTTAGTCTTTTCAGCCTTTGTTTGAGACATAAAAGTGGCTTTTTTCATGGAATTCTAGATTTTAGGCCAAATTCCTGCAGTCTACGCTAAACAGTCCTTGCACTCAACTTCATATTGCATTGCGCCATTTCATCTTGTATACACCCAGATTTTCTTCTGTCATGTAGGCACAGTCTCTTAATTCTTCTATCATCACTTGCTGTTGTGCACCTTTTCCTGCCTTTACCAGTGTGGTTTTGTAGTGACTGAGCCTCCTTATACCTCTTCAAAAACTTAGAAATGCCACCCTTGGTTAAGTTTCCACCAACTTTTCTTCTAATTTCTTTATAACTGTAGCCTTGTTCACTTAATAATACTATTTTACATCGCTTTCTGGGCAACCAGTCAACTCTTTGCACCATTACACTTATGCTCATTGGCTACAATCAGATGAAGGAAAGCTACCTGATATCAACCTAAGCAAGTTGTGCTTCCTTTTTCTGGTTATTTGGCTATAACTTTTCATAGAGTACAGATAATTGAACAAACTTTCTTGCATTACATTCTTGATTAAATTATCTTTCCATTGATATATAATTTTATGGTACTACTCCCAAAAAGTGGTGTTATTAGCCATCAAACCTCAAAAATACTCTTTTCCCAAAAGATTTCCACAATTTTGGCCACTACTGTATTCCAAGCACATTGTGATAAAGGTAAAGGTTTTCCTTGCCCAAGTCATGTGTAGGGCACGGTGCTCATCTCTGTTTCTTGGCCAAGGAAGCCAATGTTGCTGAAGACAGTTCCATGCTCATGTGGCCAGCATGACTATATGCCGAGGTATATAAAGCAAAGGCTCAGAACAAACGAAGACTTGCAACAAAAGTCAAAGATAATAAAAAGTTTCTTCCAACATATAAATAACAAGAAAAAAATCAAGGAAGCAGTCAGTCC